CCCCCCCCCCTCGCCACACTGGATCGTCAAACCGAGCGGTCCCCAGAGGTTCCGCCCCTCACGCGCCCTATTCGTTCAGAAAGGTTCAAACGCACCTGCAATAATGCCAGGCTGCAAGTTCATGCGTCAGCGCCTGCGATTAGGCCATCCAGTGTAAAATGAATCGCGTACACGGTAAAAACAGTTGTATTTCAAGACCCGGTCTTGGATCTTATGGACGACGCCTATAAGACCGCGTCTTGAAATACATGAAACATTTTTTTTTTAACCGTGACTACACACTTTTAAATAAAGTATGGAACTGGCGTGCACGTGTAAGTGCGCAAAACCAAGTTCCATACTTTTAAGTGTTTGTCAAGATATTTGAACACTGAAACCTGTTCAAATTTGCTGTGGAACTCTTAAGTATTCAAATTTGCATACTGTTAAATTCACACAAATTAATTTGCAAATGCTGCAAAGCAAAAGTGTTAAGCAAAAGTGTTAAGCAAAAGTGTTTTAAGATAGGATCCAAATGCACTCTACAAAAAGAGTAAACAATTAGTTACTAATAAGCTGCCAGTACTCGTAGTCCAGCTCCCCTAGGGCTGCCATGCTCCGGATAAGGGCTGATCAATTGTTGCTCTAATAAATGGCCCGATCTCTGGGGGTAGATATTGACGAGGAAACAGTTTGAGGTCTGAGCCAATCAACGCATTGACGGAGAGGGAAGGGAGGGGGCTGCGGTTGAGGAAGGCAGGACTGCAGCAGATCCGTCCCCCGCCCCGCACCTGCTCAGCCTGAGACAATGGAGGACCCGTCGTCGTCGGGCCCCGCTCCAGTGCGCCCCGGCTCAACACTACAAGCTTCCTGAAACTGATGTCTGTTGGAGGCTTTGCGCCTGCCACGCCGAGATGTGGAAAGGGAGGGTAACGGGGGAGGGAAAGGGGGAAGGGGGGCAGCTGAGGGAGTTGGACCGGTTCTTGTTTTGTCATCACAACGCCCCGCGCTCTAACGGGGGACCAGGCCGGGGACCTGATCCAATTAACTTTCTCCGTGCAGCTTCCACATGGCCAAGCCCTTCTAAGGCGGTCCCGAAGGTAGCGAGGTAGCCGCCCGGACCGGGCCGGACCCCGGGGGTATTGTTAATACGGGTGGGGGTAGCGTGTGTGTCGCCCCCGAGTGACGTGAGCATCGCGTCGCGTTACAACGTGCCTCCTCCCTCTCCCCCGCTACACCCTCCCGCACCGCCACTCTCTCAAATTACAGTGCAACTAATCCGCTCCGACCCCCACTCCGTCCCTTCCCCGACACTCCCTCCCTCCCTACCCCCTCCA